CTCCTGCCGGGTCGTCCAGGTCGGGTGACAAAGAGACGGTTTCCTGGGGCCACCCCCACCCCTAGGCAGCCCGCACCCCAGGGCCTGAAGATGCTGAGATCTATGTGGAATTTTCTCAAACGTCACAAAAAGAAATGTATCTTCCTGGGCACGGTCCTCGGAGGTGGGTGACAGCGTTCTTGGAACTGGGCCCCGGGAGAAGGGGCGGGAGAGGCGGCTGTCGTCTACAAACAGAGGGGCCGGGACCCTAGCCCGCATGGGGGGGGGAGCCCGTCGCGCGGGGAGCGGGGCGACCAGCCCCCCAGGCTCTGCACAGCTCCCCGGGTTTGGAACCGGGGCCTTGGCCCTGCCCCTTGCTCTGTTCGCCGCGCGTCCTTGGGACCACCCGCCGCACTTCAGTGTCTGTTTCCAAGCATCCCTCTCGTACGGACACGTGTTTTGTTTTTGTCGTGTGTATTTTGTTTTGGTTTTTTTTTTTTCAACGCGCTTCTCTCGTTTTCCTGAGATTCTTTGTTTCTCTTTGGCCCTCCTGGTACTTTGCTTGGCCTTCGCCCTTCCAAGTTTCGTAATAATAATCTAGGAGTTACCCAAAGTCTGCACGTCAAGTGGTGTTTCAGGTTACCTTGCATCTTTGAGAACAGCACAGTTGCACAGAAGGACTGGAAGGTATACACTAGGCAGAAACACAGAAAACACCACCAGTATTTTAGCTCTGTTTCTGCTGTTTTAGAATACGAGCTGCGCGGTGTTTGTGCAGGAAGACAGCGCTCTCTGGATGTGCAGGCCTCCTTGGGATCTGCCAGGCTGGGATCAGCGCCCATCTAGCTGATGTGACCGAGTTGCACAAGCTGAAAAGAGATTTAGAGAAGATAGCAGCCTTGAGAGCCCTTTTCCTCATAGGGCAGTCATGTCATAATGAGCAGGGGTGTTAAAGGGGAGAGTGAAAAGCCTTGTGAGATGTAGGAGAAGAAAACGTAGGAATGTTAAGAAATTTTTAGAATTTGAGGTTTTTGGGAACTCTTATCCCTAACTACATGCTTTGGTTACCGAAGTGCTTAAAAATCAGGAACGGAAATTTCCCAAAGAATTTGGTTGCTTTTCTCTTACTATTACTAGATTATATTCTTGTTATCCCCCAAACAATTTGAAATTAGCAATACTCTTAGCATCAGTGATTTAGATCTGTTGGTTCTTGAAAGTTTGAAACAGGCATCTTGTTGATGAGGCAAGGAGAGAGCCTTTCCTCGTCTCTGGGGTCTATCATAATTTGATAATGAGCAGATATAAATTTTCATCTAAATATTTCAGAAATTCTTTACAGATACAGTGCGTTTTCCAATATATTCAGCCACTGACATCTAATGTATATTTAGATTAAGCTAAGGCTGTTGAGTCCATTTTATTTATAGAGGCTAAAGATGTATGTGTGATGGAAGAAGTATAAATAAAGTATTTTTGCCACCACTAAAGGAAATGAGAAAACCTCTCTAGCAATCTCAGAAAGACTAGCATACCCCTTCCCACTTACAGAACAATCTGCCAGTAGATTAGGAGCAATCATAGGGGAAGCAGAAGATTACAGTTGAGATAGTTATAGATTTTTTTCAAAAATCTGTTGAGCGCTTAATAGTTACAAATTAAGAGGAATGAGAAAGAAAAAAAAAACGGTTCATAGAAACAGAAAGAGAAAATAATCTTTGTGTTTTATAAAAAAAAAAAAAAAGTTAATCTAAAAAGAAAAAAGTAGATGACCTTACGTTATTTGAGCCTCATGTTGTTGTTTTTTGCTTCAAGGGAAAGGTCCTATAACATGTTACTTTTCAGTTAATCTAATTTAAGAAATATTTGTCAAATGCCTGTAGTATTGAAGCTAATGTGATTGGAAGTAGAAGATTTACAGAGATTTCTAATAGTAATAGTTACCATTTATAGTAGTCAATGGGGATGACAACAGGATAGTTATTGTTACCCCCATTCAAGAATGTGGAAACTAGAGCCCTAACAATTTAAGAAATTTGCTCAGGTCTCAGAGTTGGTAAGAAGGAAGCTAGAATTCAAACCCAGGTGTGTTGGATCTCGAAGCACATTCTCTTTCCACACTATACCGCTTTGCTTTTGTGGACTTCATGGTCTGGTAGGAATTAAAAATAAGTGTCTTAGTCCATTCAGGCTGCTCTAACAAAATACCACAGACTGGATGGCTTATAAACAACATAAACTTATTTCTCACAGTTCTGGAGGCTGGAAGTCCAAGATCGGGGTCTCAGCATGGTTAAATGAGGGCCCACTCCAGGTTGCACACTTGTTGGATCCTCACGTGGCAGAAGGGGCTCTGCGAAAACCCATTCAGAAGGGCCCATCGCCTAAGCACCTTCCAGAGACTCCACCTCCTAATACCATCACATCAGGCATTAGGGTTTCAATATATGAATTCAGGGCAGGGGGGCACACAAACATTCACAACCTAGCAACAAGTACACAAATAATTAAAATGCAAAACAATAAGAGCTGAAGAAATGTTATATAGATGAAACTAGCATGTAGCATGTAAGGTTATAAAAAATCAGGAAAGGACTTTATGGAAGACACATATTGACAGGTTTGAAAGCTAGGTAAGATCTGTGTTCCAAGGGGGTTAGCCATCCAGTGGTAGGAAAAAATCCTAAGTAAAAACTTTGAAGTATAGACCTTTTTTTTGTTTTGTTTTTTAATATATTTTTATTGATTTTAGAGAGAGGAAGGGAGAGAGAGAGAGAAACATCAATGACGAGAGAGAGTCACTGATCAGCTGCTTCCTGCGTGCCCCCTGCTGGGGATCAAGCCCGCAACCCTGGCATGTGCCCAGACCGGAATCCAGCTGCAATCTGGATCATAGGTCAATGCTCAACCACTGAGCCATGCTGGCTGGGCTGAAGTACAGGCCTTCTTGAGTAAGAATTTACTACATTTTAAATGAGTAATTGCTTTAGACCAGTTTGTACAATTTGAACAGCTTATGCAAATACTAGAGCTTTGGCTCTCAAATTCTTTGGCTGGAGATCTTTACATTTTTAAAAATTAAGGACTCTAAAGATCCTTTTAATTTTTCTATCTAATTAATAGCTGCCATATTAGAAATTACAACTAAGAAATTTTTAAAATGCTAATTTAAAAATAATAATCGTGCACCCATAACACATTAACAGAATTATTTTTCTAAATTAGTGTAGAGTGGCATTGTTTTAAATTTGTGCCAATCTCTTTGCTGTCTGGCTTAATTGAAGAAAGCTGGTTTCTTGTATCTCATTTTGTACTTAGTCATTTGCAGTGCCACAGGTCATGTAGCCTCTAGAATACTCCACTGTAAACTCATGAGAGAATGAGAATGAAAAAGGCAAATAGTGTTTTAGTGTTATTATGAAAGTAGTTTTGATTCTCAGATCCCCTGAAAGCGTATTGAACACCTCCAGTAGTTCCCAAGCCATACTCTGAGAACCACGACACTAGAGAAAGAACAGAGAACAGCCAGATTCATATTATTGGCTTAGCGATTTCTACAAGTCCCTGAGCATTGACATACTTTATATCTTAATCCCTGTAACTTCTGGTCTCTTAAGTTTTTCATTCATTTATTCATTCAACAAACATTCTAATGAGAATAGTGCCTACTCTTACTGTGTTCTGTATCGGGCTCTGGAAGTACAAAAAAATGAGACAGTGTCCTTGACTTTGAGGAACTCATGGTACGTAGAGTCCAGAAAGCAGAAATGGAAATAAACAAAAGTAGTACAATGATAGATAGTGTTATAATACTGTAATAGAGCAGGATGCTGTGGGGGAACATAGAGGAGAGAGAAGCATGAAGGCGTCTGGTGAGCTTCACTCAAGAATCCACTTAAGTTGTACAGCTAGCAAAGGAGAAGGGAACACAGCAGGAAAAGGGGGTGTTCAACAGATCAGAGACATTACTTCAGATGAGTCAAAGTGCCTTTCATTCTGGCTAACTACAGAGAACAAATAAGGAATGGCAGATGAACCTGGAGAACTAGCGATAGTGCAGACTGCCAAGGGCCTTCCTTACTGGACTAGTCTACAGAATCTGTACGTTATTCCATGTATCAGTGCATCTCAGTCTTTAGTATATTTTTATTTTTATTAATTTTTTAATATGTCTTTATTGATTTCTGGGAGAGAGAGAGAGATAGAAACATTGATGATAAGAGAGTCATTGATCAGCTGCCTCCTGCACGCTCTCCACTAGGGACGGAGCCCGCCAACCCGGGCATGTGCCCTGACCTGGAATCGAACCGCCATCTCCTAGATCCTAAGTCACTGCTCAACCGCTGAGCTACAACAGCTGGGCTTTAGTATATTTTTAATAAAAATACAGAATCCTTCTTTCCAGGATCATTAATTCATTCAGCAACTATTTATGGAGCTCTTATTGGAGGTGTTTTCAAGGAACTTCCTTAAAGGCTACATTTTTAACAAGATCTTCAAGTAATTCTGATGTAAGTGGAACAGAGAATCCGTGTTAAGAAATGGTCAAGGGCGTTGAAGAATCCTAAACACAGAAATAAAGTAGTCAGATTTAAGTTTTAGAGAATCACTGCGTATGGAAGGTGGATTGGGAAGGTGTGAGACCAGGAACAAGACGGGCGTTAGGAGGTTGTTAAAGGAGGCACTGGTACTTAGGGTCTGAAGGCTGTGGTAGAGCAGTCAGGCAGCAAAGTTAGGCTGTATTTCTGAAGTAGAATCAGAACAGCAGGGTTGGGCAGTCTGTTGGATCAGGAGCAGTGTTAACACATTATTTTCAAGCTTTTATTTAAATCATTACCCTAGTGAAATAGTTATTCTGAAAGGGTTTTCACCCAGGGAGAGGAGGCTGAAACGTTTTTTAAAAACTGAATACATGATAGGGAAGCATCAGGAGACATTCGCTTCACCAACAGTGCTCCGCATGGAAACCTCAAAACATCTCACATTTATTTTTTGAGGTATTTAATGAATTTTTTCATTATTCATAAATAAAGTCATAGCTACAGAGGAAATGTTAACGCCATATAATCCCATCCTTTCCGTTTACAAGTGAAGAAATTTCGGCCCTAAGATAGGACAGGACTTGCTCAAAGTTACCTACCTAGGTTGTGCCATGGCCGTCAGTACCATCTTCCCCCCAGAACTCAGGTACCCGGTCAGAATCGGGCGCTCCTGAGCTCCACAACCTAGCTAATTAATTGTCTTCATTCTTATTTTCCTAGGGAGACAAATCTGACAAAATCAAAATTTAGGAAATTTGGGAATGAAAGCCTGGGTAAGTTAGAATTTGCGTAGGAACTTCCTTCAGTAAATAATGGGTTGTGGGACTTCAGCTTTACTCCATGTATCAGTTTGCTGGGACTACCATAATGAAGTACCACCAACTGAGTGGCTCAAGCAGCATAAACTTACTCTTCTGAAGGCCAGAAGTCTAAGACCATTGTGTTGGCAGGATTTGTTCCTTTTAAGGGCCCTAAGAGAAGAATCTGTTTCAGGCCCCTCTCCTTGGCTTTGATGGCCATCTCCTACCTATTGACATAAGAAACCTTCAAACCTGGAGAGAAGTTTTGTAAGATTTATTTCAGCCAAACTGACATTGTGCCAGGAACCAAGATCTCAGATGTTCCAGAGTGACAGTTTTACAGTTTCTTTTATACATTTAAAATAAAGGAGGGAACTAAGGAAAATTACATGAAAGTAGGAGAAAGCTAGGTACAGGGTAGTTAACAAGACTATGTGCTTCCTCCAGCGTGGTTACTCCTCTGAGGTATCTAAAAAGAGGATTACTCTGACATTTCAAAGGTGTGTTAACCTAGATACAACAACAATGGACTGGGCTTGCTTAAGGCAAAGATAAACCTTTTTATAGGCTTGGGGTGTGACTACCCATCCTGGCCTGCCTAGTTAGGAATTTATGACCAGATAACCCTGTGAGATTACTTTTAGTCAGATTTATTATAGAGCCCCTTTTCATCTATATCCCTGTATCTTTACATCATCTTCTCTACACATGCTTGTGTCTAAATTTTCTCTTCTTATATTATAAAAACACTAGACGTACTGGATTAGGGGCCACCTTAATGACCTCCCTTTAACTTGATTACCTCTGTAAAGACCCTGCGTCCAAATAAGGTAACATTCTGAAATACTGGGGCTTCAGCACAGAATTTGGGAAGGCACACAGTTCAACCCATAACAATGCATTTTTTTCTTTTAGCTTTAGTTAGACTGTACTACATTTATCAAACAAATACAGTAGTCCCTAAAGAATTTTAATCAGACACGTTGAGAATCTAATTAAAGCAGTGGACCTTCCCCCTGGAAAACACATATGCTAATCAAATTTACTATTATTCCTGAAAAACCTTAGGTATACAAAGGGCATTATTGTAGCGTTTCACTTTACACTATTATTGTTTGAGAAATAATAATTTTTTTTTTAAATATATCTTTATTGATTTCAGAGAGAGGAAAGGAGAGGGAGAGAGAGAGACAGAAACATCAATGATGAGTCATTGATCGGCTGCAGCCCGCAACCCGGGCATGTGCCCTGACCGGGAATCGAACCCTGATCGCCTGGATCCTAGGTCGACGCTCAACCACTGAGCCACGCCCGGCCGGGCGAGAAATAATAATTTTACACATAACTTTTAGCAGTCTGTTGTATAAATAAAATATAGGCAGTTCATTGAGAAGTAGTTGTTATGTAACAGTTGCCTGTCAAAGGGTTACTTTGTGAAACATCAATTTCTTCATTTTGTTGGTTTTGTGGCACTGTTATCAGTTTATTTAAGATGGATTAAAAAGAAAGGTAGCTATGAAGTCACATGAAATTTTATTTGTGCTTTGAGCATGATTATAATGCCTTTATTTGTATACAAACCTAACAACAATCATACTTTATTTCTGCCTAATTATTTGTAGCGCACACCCTTTTGATGAACTATGATTTTTAAGAGTATACAATATGTTATCATGTTCACCTATAATGCTTATTTTAGTGAAAACATTTCAGGATATGTGTTTGCTTTACAGGCCCTAGATGCATGCCTCCTCCCCATCTGTGACAAACAGACCAAATTCCATTATTTAGGCCATGCACAATTCTTAGGTTCTTTTTGGTAGATATTAGGTGCCCCAGACATTTGGAGGTAGGTGAGGATTAGTTGTTCCTTTACAACCTTGTTGCCAGGTTATAATGAAACATGCCAGCACACATAAAAACATCTGTTAGCAGGCATAGATAAAACTTGTATTATAAACTTGTTCTGTGAGCTCATTGAAGTTCCAATGTCCTTTTTGGTGTTACATTTTATCTTATATTTTTAAAAAGTATTATATATTGAGTGAAGAAAATACGGAAAATATAGAGGAGCAAACAGAAGAAAAATCACCTGCTATCCCACTATTCAATAATGATCATTATTTATTATATGTTAGAAATGAAAACCCGTCTGTTTTTCTGTGTAGCTGCTTACATTAAAAAACAAAACTTCCGGGATTTTATTTTATCATCTAATAACATAACATGGATATTTCCTTGAGTCATTGACTGTTTATTAATGTGGTTTTTAATAGCTACATCAGATTCAATTGTATGGATAGACTGTAATTTATTTAAGCAAGTCCCTATTGCTGGTGATTTAGAATATCTCCAGATTCGATTCCTTTAGTTTTCAGACCTAGTACTTATTTACCTGTCTATCTTTAGCTGTTAAAATGACAATCTCCTTTTCCTTCTCTTTAGGTCACAATTCTTATATAATTCTTTAATTTAGGTTTTTAAAAGTTGTAATTTTTAGCATTTTGCTAATATAGGCCTTATATTTGAATAAAGCGGGTTAAAGATACTGTATGGAATTTTTAATATACTAATTATTGTATTAATTGACTAGCTCGTTTTAAATATACAATTTTAGGAGTATATATCCTGGGGAAATATGGACAGAAGAAAATCAGAGAAATACAAGAAAAGGAGGCTGCAGAATATATTGCCCAAGCACGACGACAATATCATTTTGAAAGTAACCAGAGGACTTGCAATATGACAGGTAAAGCCAAGAGAACTGTTTATACATATGTAAAGTTATTTGATCATTTGTATTAATTGTATACCTCCTGGACCAAAGTTAGAAGAAAAGGCAAAGGAAGAATGATAAAATGTAGCAAGTATTTATTATATGATTTAACTGAAATACATCACTTAATGTGGATTTTAAAAATCAACATACAGTATAAATGCTTATTCATTTATTTTATTTATTCATTCAGCACATAATGTGCGGTACCCAGCACTGGGGAAGCAGAATGTGAACAATAAAAAAAATCCCCAAACTTCAAAGTTTATGTGCTCGTAAGAGAAAAACATGATACCCAACAAGTAAATAACTTTGGTCAGTGGTGGCTGCTCTAAGGAGACTAAAGCTGTGGGAGGGGTGGGGATGCTCCTTACGACAGGGCAGTGGGGAGAGCCAGGCCTCTTTGAAGAGGTGAAGAGGAGAACCCAAATGATACAGTGGAGGGAGCCATGCAAAATGCCAGAGTGCCTGAGGAGAAACCACAAAGGCTGTGTAGCTGGAGCCAATGAGCAGGGAGAAGTAAGGCTGCATGCAGGTAGGCCTGATCCTGTAGGGCCTTATGTGTCATAGTAAAGAGTGATAAGTGTGTTAAATTTACGGTAGGCAACTACAGACCTCTAAGTCTAGCACAATGTTACATACTCAAGCAGTGTTAGTTAATGGTAGCAATCTAACCTCCAGATTTAGAAACGTACTGGGAGAATGCCACACCAAAGTCATGTAAAAAGAACCAGTCATGTTATAACTGGCATAACCCCTGAAAGAATTCGTTCTCAAATCCATGTCAAACCTGTTTTGGTTTTGGGGGTTTTTTAAAAAATATTTAAAGCTTAATCCTTTCTCGTAACATTTTTTTAAAAACAGTTAATTTAGAACAAATTTATAAAGGTAAATTCTTTTTGTTGAATTTTAAAGGTAAAATTTTTTTCAGAGTTGAAAGGACATTATTTTTAGTTCAGTTTCATTTGACAGATAAAGAGGCTGAGATTAGGAGGTTAAGAGACACATCCAAAGTTATGGCTGGAGTATGATTTTTATATTTAAAATGATAATACTTCATTCTATAAAGCAAATAGTAATCATGAATACTGGACAAGGCACAGTGAGTAAAAGCACAGGCTCAGGGGTGAGGCGGATCTGGCTCAGCTCCCATTTTGCCTTGTAATATCTGTGTGTCTTTGGCAAACCTAAATCTCAGTTCTCTCCTCTATGAAAGTTCATCATAAAACCCACTTCATAAATGTTTTGTGAGAATGTGATGAGATAATACATATAAAGTGCTTGGCATATAATGCTCAGTAAATAACTTTTTAAAAATGGCATAATTCTTTAAGTTGATATTTAGCATTTATAGTGGTGCTATCAAGGTCATTTTAATGCATTTTTAGACACTAAGAACAGTCCAGTTTTGCTTATCACTCAAATTTTCAGAAAATAGAAAAAGGAAAGTCCTGGAGTCTCAAAATACATCCATCTCAGTTTGACGTGGACCCTTGTATCAGTTTGTGTCCTCTGGGAAGCAGATGCTAAAAATGGGATTAGATGTGGGAGAGATTAATGGGGGAAGCACCTAGGAAAAATGAAGGGAAGGGAGCAGAAGCAGGCAAGGAAATCCTTTAGACCACAGTGAAGGTCTGACCTGTGAATGGAAAGGGAGAAGGAAGGAAGATTCCTTAAGAAGAGTTTCCATCTACAGCACAATTCTAAGAAAGTTTTGGCAGTCTAGTGGGGAGTCCTCAAGCCAGAGTTCCTGGTGGAGGAGTCCCGCAGGAATGGGCCTGCTTCAGTACCCGCACAGAGCACTCTCCTTGGCTGGGAGCCATTCAGACATGGTAATGGATTGAGAGAGGTGGCTGCTGGGGCTTTCAGCTAACAGTCTCCTCCCAGCAGATGTGGTGGCACATTTCCATGACCATCAAGCCCTCAGATGAATAAACAGCTGACTATAGGCAATTAAAAATAAAATATGGTAATCACTAGGAGCCAAAATATATTCACTGAAAAACCTTCCAAGTTAGCTTTCTGGTATGCATTGATAATGGGGTTACAAATCATATCACTAAGTTTCTATCATTTTGAATGAGATGTGATGGATATACTATAACAAATTTAGTACTTTTAGGTAAATATAGCTAGTTTTTCTGCCTAATAAATTATCCCCAACTTGAAATATAGCATCTAATAAAATACTTCTGTGCCCTGACTATTGGCTTTATCATCTTCATGATTTTACTAAAGATTTAGAAGGAGTGCTTATCAAATTTACACGTGACACAGTGCTTGGATGCATAACTGCCACCATAAATGAAATTTCTAGATGCAAAATAGTTTTATCTCATATAAGTGCTAGATTGGGATAAGTGAATTGTCTGCATTAAAAGTCAGTTGTACAGCCTGGCTGGCGTGGCTCAGTGGTTGAGCACTGACCCATGAACCAGGAGGTCAGGGGTTGATTCCCGGTCAGGGTTGCAGGCTTGATCCCCAGTAGGGAGCATGCAAGAGACAGCCGATCAGTGACTCTCTCTCATCATTGATGTTTCTCTCTCTCCCTCTCCCTTCTTATCTGAAATCAATAAAAACATATATTTTTTTAAAAGTCAGTTGTACAGATACAGAGTTAGATATCTGAGCTTGCTTGGAAGCAAGGTACATGAATAAGGGCTGCGAATTCTAATTGAGCATAAGTTTATTATGAACAAGTAGTATGCTGTTACTTCAAGGAATACTAATTTAATCTTAGACTTCAGTAATAAAGTCGTGGTTCAGATCAAAGGCAGTTAGAGCAGTTCTGCAGCAGTCAGAGAACAGGTCCATGTCTGCCTCTCGCATGTTAAGAAGATACAAACTGGAATGTGTCAGAAGCAGCTAAGTAAGGATACTAATAAGCACTGACACTTACTGAGCATTTCCATGTGCAAAGAAGCCTGTTCTAAGTGCTTTGTATGTCTGTCCTCGCAGCCACCCTGTGAGGTAGATCTGGTGTTATCCTAGCTTACAGATGAGGATACTGAGGCACAGAGAGGTTGAGTGAGATGCTCAGGGTCACAGAGATTCATGGCTGATGAAGGGTTGTCTTGTGATTTGTGATTGGACTGGAGATGTTTATCATGTGACTAAAAAAGATATGAATGCTGTATTCAACTAGATACAGAAGCATATTTGTTCAGTGTTCATACAGGCAGCTAGAAGAGAAGAATGGACTTGTCTTTGGCTCAGAAGGCTGAAATGGAAAGTAAAAAGCTCCTCCCTCTCAGGAGAATTATTATTATTATTTTAAATATGTCTTTATTGATTTCAGAGAGAGGAAGGGAGAGGGAGAGAAAGATAGAAACATCAATGGTGAGCGAGTCATTGATCGGCTACCTTCTGCACGCCCCTAACTGGGGATGGAGCCTGCAACCTGGGCATGTGCCCTGACCAGGAATCAAACCGTGACCTCTTGGGTGATGGGTTGATGCTCAACCACTGAGCCACCCCGGCCGGGCTCAGGAGAATTACTGAGAGGCTCCTCTCAAGTCATGTTGTTACACCACACAATCTTTAAGCCAGTTCCCTACTAACTCTATGTGCTGAATATAGGACTCTAGCCTTGCTTTTTCTGGTTAACATATCATGTTTGGCCAAATATAGATAGACACCAAGTACACTAAGAGATAAGTCACCTTTTACTTAGTTGGCTCTGAGCTGCTGCTTTAGCTGTAATAGTCCTATAAATTACATGCAATCTTTTTACCATAGAGTACTGTATCTTACTTTATCTCCATGTTATTCTTGGGAGTTACAGGCAGTAGCCTTTGGCAAAACAAGAACTGCAGCTTAGCAGCTCTTCATTCTAGCCTTATGCCCTTTTGCCTAGTTTATCACTTTGTAGTATTTAATAAATGTTTTTCTAAAATTGGAAATAAAATGTGAAGCAAAAAGCTTAGATAAAGGTAAAAACGTTGTTTTTAATTATTTTGTTATATCAGAAATAAACATTTATTGTACATAAAATTTGGAGAGTACAGAAAAGAAGAGACAAAGAAAGAATCATCCATAATCCATAGCCGAGAGACCACCACTGTTAGCATCTAGGAATAATTCTTCTCATACTTTTTTCTATGTGTACTTGTTTATATTGCTGTAATCATAGTGTGTATAAAATTTTGTTCACTTAACATAAGCAGATAAATGATTTATTAGTACATAATCCATTTTTATTACTATTAATAACAATAATTTGAAAACTCTAGTCCTGCCCTTGCCTCCCAACCCTTGCTAGTTGCTAGTTCTGTCATAGAGCTTAAAACAATGTGCATTTCTCAGTGAGGGCAGTCATAGCACTTGTCACCATCTTTATTTTCTGTTTGTGTTGCAGTGCTGTCCATGCTTCCAACACTAAGAGAGGCCTTAATGCAGCAACTCAATTCTGAGAGCCTCACAGCTCTGCTAAAAAACAGGTAAATGCAAGTTACAACATTCTTTACTTACATACTCCAATTAAAGTGTATACAGTCAACTGAAATACTTTTCAAACATCTTTGTTTCCTTGTTTTTTTCTTTCTAATTAACGTTTACACTTTATATTAGAATGCCACTATGCGAAGTACAGATATGCCACTATGCGAAGTACAGATATGAGCACACAGTAATGATCATTTATCTTGCCATGATAGTTTACTGGGTACATAGCACTTGCACACAGAAGACCTTGTATGTGGCATACAGTGTGTGTTGGATATTGTCATTTAATGCGATGCTGTATAAGTTTGAGAAGAGTTCCAGGAGGAAATGGCTTCTTATTTTAATGAACAAGATGGAAGTGGGTTTAATAAATAAATTTTAATCATTGTGGCCTTACTGAAATATTCACTTTCCTTATAATCATTCTCCAATACCCAGGGGAAAGGAGTGCTATTTCCGCTGTGTCTCTGTGCCAGGCCCAGTGCTAGCCACCTTACGTACATGCTCCCATTTAATTTTCACATTGAATTAATTTTCACACTTGCTCCCATTTAATTTTCACAATATCCTTGTGAGGCAGATATTATCGTTTATTTTGCACATAGGAATTTACTGCTCAGATAGCTTCAATAGCAAGCTGGAAAATTTCTTTGAAACATTTTCTATATTCAGAGAATATCTCCCAAAGTACCAATGGATTTGTGTACTTGAAATCTTTTTTTTAATCTTATTAAAGTGTAATGCTAGTGATAAGGGGGTTTCCTTCTAAATTTCATCATTCTTAGAGGTTGACATAATTTCACCATTACTTACAGATGTAAGGTTCAGTTTATAAGTTAGTTTATATAATTATATAAGAAGAAACATATAAGCAGATTACTCTCAGATAAATGCTTAATTGTTACATGTATGTACATAAATAGGAATTAAAGAAATATGTTCATAAGTAGGGAATAAAAAATGCATTTTCATTGTCTTAAGTTTTCTTCTTATTGGGGAGACAAGACAAATGAAATAAGTGAATAGCACCTTAATAAAAGCAACATAAAACCACACACAAGAAACATAGTGGCATTCTTCCTTCTTGTGACTGTTTCCTGCAGGGCCCCAGATTCCCTGTGATAATTAACATGAGGTCTCTTTCCCTTTAAGATGTTGTCATCCAAGGAAGGAAGTAGATGAAATAGATTCTAATTCAAGACATATTATGTTTGATCTGTGGTTAAAAAAAAAGTAAAAGCAAAATGTGGGGTGAAAATGTAGCAGCCTAGAGAAGCCAGGGATTAATGTTGAAGGCTAACCCTGGACAGCTTTAAAGAAAAGGTGACATTCCTCTTTTCTTACTCAGTTCGCAGACAGGAGAATTTCTTCAGTTCCTACGCTTAACTTACACTTAAAGTTTAAGACTGGCAACAGTTCTTATTCACTGTTTCCTCTTTATATCTCAGTGTTATTTTTCCTTGCCTTTCTTTTGATTTGAAATTATGATTTGCAGTTTGGGGCAAAAAATGTTCGTTGGAAAGATATTGGCATAAAGAGGAGCTTGAGCCCTTACAAAGTGTGATTAAATAAGGCCTCCAACCTAATTGCTTTTGTATTAGTTTTCAGTCAACTAAGGTCTCATAGAAGCCTGTCAAACAAGTCAGTTTTCTCTTTAAGCTAATTATGATAACTAATCAGAAATAAATAAAAGATTTGGTAGTCTTATTTTGTCAGTTTTATAATAGCAGATACACATGCATCACTGTTTTTAGTCCTTAGCATTCTTATCGATAATGGCAATGATGTTTTAGTGACAAAGACTCTTAAACATCTTTTATCATAAGAGAGGTAGAACACTTTGAAAGGATTAGTTTAATTCTTAAGCAGATATTTTAGTGACACTGAAGAATTCAAAGTAGTTCATGATGTATTTTATCTCTGAATATATGTTCATATAAGTATGTAAATACACGTATTTATTAGCTAGTCTACTGAAAAGGCTTAGATGTGATGAATATCTTTAATAGAAGGTTGCCATCTCAGACTACCATTTCCTGCTACCAGGGAGTAGGACTCTTGGAGCAATGGCTGATTTTAGGTCTACAGCAAGAAATGAACATGATAAACACAGACCGCTTTGTGAGTGAGTAAGCAAGGAAGCCATCAAAGACTAAATGGAGTTATGTCCAAAGGATTCAGGAACCAACCTGAGTAGTCTCCCCTTATCAAAGATGGACAATTTGAACATCAATAAGAATAACTACAGTGAGTTGAAGTACATCAAATATATATTTAAATTCATGTGTTTGTAATGGTACTTTAAAACAAAAATACTTCATTATTTACCTTTGAATGATTTTAGGACCTACTTCATTATATGTAAAAATGGTAAATGAAGGAAAGAAACAAACATTTTTTCTGTTTTTCTTATATGATTTTATAATACATACATGCAGGTGCTGAGAAAGAGAAAAAAGACGGAAGGATATGTACCAATGTGCTAGTGCCAATTGTCGTCATCATTGGCTACTGAAATTATAGTTGTTTTTTACTATATTTTGTTTTCTGAAGTTACCCTGTAATAAACTACAGCTGTAAAACTTAAAGTTTCCTGTTAGGTTACCTGATTATTGTTTTCATATATTCTGATTTTTCTTCAGGCCTTCAAACAAGCTGGAGATATGGGAGGACCTGAAGATAATAAGTAAGCCTGCGCACGCTGGGCGGGCAGGGCGTCCGCAGAGTGTTTCTGAAGGGGAGCCTTCGTGCTCGTGTGGATGGCTCTTTACTTCACAGAGTTGTCAGGGTTAAATGATTCACATACAGCGAATAGGCCAATGGCTGTCACAGAAAGTACTTAGTGGGTGTTAATGGTGGAGGTGGTGTTATTGGTATGTTATGATAATATATAAACCTGCCCGAGACTACATATGCCTACACTAGGTACTGATTTCTTCAATAGTATACTTTAAAGAAGTTTTTGTTCCAGCCCACATAGTAACTTTACTTTGTATTGTGTACAGAGTTCCCTAGGGCGTGTGTGTGTGTGTGTGTATCTCGATGTCTTATAACTTCATACCATCATTTATTCCTACATTTTCCTACCCATTCAACTAATCTTTATCAAATGAATCATGCTTAAGCCTTCCTGTTTGAAAATAAATTAAACCTTTGTAGTACCCTGCATTCCCTTTGCACTGTTACGCACTCTCACACCCCTGTGTTACTCTCACACCGAGTATTTCTACATTCCCTTCTCACTCCACTCACTCTTTGACACACTACAGCCTGGCTTCCACCCCCATGTCTCCACCCAAGCAGGTCTTGCAACCTTAGTAGTAACTTTTTGTTGCTAAATCCACTGGACATTTTTCTCCTGCTAGACTTCATGGCAGCAGTCAGCACCTTTGCTTTCTTCTGTTTTGAACACTCTGTTCTGTCTGCTGTGAAACCTCATCTCCAGCTGTTTCCCTATGTTTCTGTACCTTCCCCTAGCCCTTTAATGGGCTCACGCTCCTTTGCCTGCCTTTGGAGGCCGGAGTTCTTCCCCGCGTAGCCCTCTTTTACTCTGAACTAGCTCCCTGGACAAACCAGAGTTCTGAGGCTGCAACTCTTTTTCTTTTCTTTTTTTCTTCTTTTTTTTAAATCTGTTTTTATTGATTTTTAGAGAGGGGAGAGGAATAGAGAGAGAAAAACATCGATGAGAGAGAAACATCATCAGTTGGCTGCCTCCTACATGCCCCCTACTGGGGAATGAGCCCAAAACCCGGGCATGGGCCATGACCAGGGATCAAACTGTGACCTCGTGGCTCCTAGATTGACACTCAGCCACTGGGCTACACCAGCCAGGCTAAGGCTGCAACTCTTAGTGCTTCCCAGTCCTTTCTTATTTTTTTTTAAAGATAATAATATATAACCATTCACTCAATATTGTGGTTATTGTTTTAATTAAGAGATCATACCTAATATACATTAAAAAGTTGTAAGGAGATAGATTTTGAAATATTTTGAATTGATACATTTTTGTACTTGAAACAGTTACAAATGTATTTTTAAGTCATCTTATGAAAAAGTAACCATTGGTGATTGGAATGGTGATTTTGCACATTTATTTGTTTTTTAATAGTGGTACCAAATGGCTTTCTTTTCTCTATGAAGGTTTTACAAGAAGTATTGTAGCTGTATATAGTACCTGTATGCTGGTGGTTCTTTTGCGAGTCCAGTTAAACATTATTGGTGGATATATTTACCTGGATAATGCAGCAGTTGGCAAAAATGGCACCGTAAGTTTAATAGACTTAAATAGATATTGTCCTTAGTTTCAAGAGGTTCAAAATGTAGCCGAATATTACTTATTCTGATCATTTCTATAAATTAGATATCTTACTATTTCATGTGATTGTAAACTTTTAGCATTACTATTTTTTATATTTTGAAACTATACTTTTTTTTGTTATATTAAAGAATATCATTTTGCCTATAAGTCCATGTCCTGAAAATCTCAGCTCAAGTTACACTGAAAATAGTATTTATTTACTAACAATATTGGGTAATTTAATGTTATTCTATTTTGTATAGACAGTCCTTGCTCCCCCAGAGGTCCAACAGCAGTATTTGTCAAGTATTCAGCACCTCCTTGGAGATGGTAAGATTATTTGTGACCTGTAAACGAAGTGTAATTCATTCATTTGTATTATTGAGGAATTTGAAAAGTAAACAGGCTTTTGTGTTTGTTTTATTTCAATAGGCCTGACAGAATTGATCACTGTCATTAAACAAGCTGTGCATAGGACTTTAGGAAGGTGAGGCATGTTGCTTTGGCTTTTCTGACTTCTGATCCTAATGAATAAAAGAAAACTTAGAATTGTGCTAGTGAAGCTAGTAACTAGACAGTCATCCATGAAATTCTTTGTGAGCTAATGAGACACAGCCTTGGATGCTGCCTTGTGGAATCCACTTCTTCATCAGTATTGACCTTTTGATACTAAGGGGAAACTCTCAGTATTTCATTGTTTATTGATTGATTTCCAAACCAGAAATATTTGGGTCATGAGATAAAAATCTACTTTAAAATCTGACTCTGAGGCTTTTATCTCCCACTTATACTGGTAGTATCTGTAATTACAGTGGGAATTTTCTTGTGAAATCTGCAGCAAGATTTTTCTTGACTCTGTAATAATGCCCCTTAACTGATGGCTGATTTCTTAATCTACTCTAGTGATTTCACAGTCAGCAGTTTCAGGTTTGGCTGGATGAAGCCGGATCTCAGATAGTAACGTAATAGTGTGTGTATAGTATAGTTTCAACTAATCCCAGTTTCCTTTTCTCTGTTTCTAGTGTCTCTCTTAAACATTCTTTGTCCCTTTTGGACTTGGAGCAAAAACTAAAAGAAATCAGAAATCTCACTGAGCAGCATAAGTCTTCTTCTTGGATTAATAACGATGGATCCAAATCTTTGTTATGCCATTATATGATGCCAGATGAGGAAACTCCATTAGCAGCTCAGGTGCTTAATTCATAACCATTTAACCAAACCACTTTATATATTTAAATTTTTTTTACTGTTTCTTAAAATTTTGATTTCTGAGTCTTAAAAGATAAGCAATTGAAAAATATATATATTTCAATAATTTAAGACCTCATTAATTTAAAAAACAAATTTCATATATGACTGATTTCTAGTTAGAAACATAATTTTAGATATTGAGCAAATTTTTATTGAGTATGAGTTATGTGACAGATACTATGATATATGATCAGGATATAAAATGAACAGGACATGTTCATTGCATGGGGGAGCTCAGGAGACAAATTCAGCTCTTGTGACTAGAGTATATTCCTGTGAAATCAAATAGCTGAAGATAGAGCTGATAGCTGGGGCAAGATCCTGAGGAGCTTTGTATGCCAAGATAAAGAGTCTGAACTTAAATTTATAGACAAAGAAAGGTAAATTTTAACCAGGCCAGTACCACTATGGCAGTATCGAAGTGGACTGAAGGAAGCTGTCCAGTTGAGAAACAGAGAGGCCTAATCTAGCAGTTATCCACCATGGTGTTGCCGCACACCTGTGTGTCCTGGGCAGCTGTGATTTAAGTTATTCCTTGATTAAAAATAATAAAAATGCCAGATATTGCAGGTTATATACCTCATCTTAAAATAATTATTGGTTATTTCACATGTAAGTGGATTGTACCAATGCATTGCAGTTGAGAAAAGAATCTCTCTCAACAACTGGAGATGCCTTAGACCAGAAAGGCCCCTATACCATACCTTAGCATTAGAACAAAGAATGCCATATTTTTCATTGCCTACAGGTTTTCCCCTCCCCTAACGACCCCAGAGATAGACCTATTGGGTGCTGAGACACTCTGCATTCGTAAGTAGGCCAAAGAAAAGTCACAACCCCTTTAAGGTATCCTGCAGGAGGGGTGGAGGCCAAAAGGGGCGAGCAGACAGGGGGCAGAATTAATAAAAGAAACAGGAGAACACCTACTTACAAACTAGAATCTCAGGGTGAGAGGAGTATTGAAAAAGTAGTTGGCAATGATAACACAGTTTCACAATTTTAAAATTCAACAATGGAACTTTAAAAAAAACTATTCAGAAGAACAGGTGAAGGTGGCAATAGTGAACCAGATCTTACCTGAATTGCGTTAAAACCTGAAACTTCAGAATGAAAGGACACACAGAGCCCCAGGCTAGGGTAGATTGATAAAAAAGACACATATCCTGATAAAATGTCTTTCCAGTAAAAGAAAAAATCACAGGCCTCTGCAACCTCAAAGAGTGTTTTTTTTTCTTTGTACATATACACTAGAAATGTGTCTAAGAGGCCCAGATAAATAAAGATCTTACACAGTATAATTTTACTTTGACACATCTTTATTTTTTATTTTTTTAAATATATCTGTATTGATATAAGAGAGAGGAATGGAGAGAGAGATAGAAACATCAATGATGAGACAGTTATTGATCAGCTGCCTCCTGCATGCCCCCAACTGGGGATCGAAGCCACAACCCAGGCATGTGCCCTGACCCGGAATTGAACCCGATCACCTGGATCCTAGGTCGATGCTCAACCACTGAGCCACACCCGGCCAGGCGACACATCCTTTAAAAACACAAAAATCTTTACAGTTCTTTTTAGTTTAACATTTTTTGATAGTTGGTAGAACACAGACTTTTAGATTTTGTCAACTCTTGAGTTTATTAATATGATTAGTTGCATCATAACCCCTTGCTAATATGTGAAACCTGAAGTATGGCATTTTAATTTCACAGGCCTGTGGGCTTTCTCCTAGAGATGTTACCACTATTAAACTACTCAATGAAACTAGAGACATGTTGGAAAGGTATGTATACTGTATGTAACAGAAATCATGTATTTCTATTTTGATTGTACTATGACCATTTTTTAGTTTTTCTTGAATAACATATTCAACATAATCTTTGAATCTTTTGCCCTGCCTTTACTTAGGATTTCCTACGTAAACTAGTGGTTCTCTTATTAGGTTAGGGAGGGAAGCAGAGATTTTTTTAACATACCCATGCCTGGTCCACTTACTTCCCTGACCTAGAGATTCTGTATATTAGTTGAGGGACTGGAAGATAGTGTTTATATTTTGAATAAAGCTCTCAAGGATGATTCTGGTATACTCAGTGTACACTAGTAAATAGTAAATGTTTATAAACCAGCTCTGTTAAAACTGCTTATTTGGGGAGTTGGGAAGAGAAGCTCTTTCAAGCCAAAGCTAGCCTGCTTCAGCTAATCTTCATGTAGACACACACACACTCAATTTGAGAACTACTCCCCTGAACCCTTTTAGGATAGAATATAATGTTCCTAAAACTTTGAGTGATAAAAATTTCACATCTTCCCTAAATTGAGTATTACTATTTTAAATCACGCAGAAGAGAGCCAGGGTGCTAACAGTAGAAAAAGCACCGACTGTATGTTAGAAGACCCAATCTAGATTCAGGATTGGCTTGCTTGTTTTTTTGGCTCTTCACCCTTGCTTTAGCCACTTAAACTCTTTCGAGTAGTTTTATCATTGTAAAATCTGAGTACTAATGCCAGCCTAACCCACTTTATCTTAAGTGACTAAAATAATAAAAACTTCTTTTAACTTAAAGATAATTTAAGACCATTTCTCTAGTTCTGTTTTCTGAGGAAATTATATCCTCTGCTTATAATATTTTTTCATGATCTTGAAGAAAATCATCAAATTTTTAGGTTAACTCAGCTACTGAATCTACAATCTGAATTCGCCAAGTTCTAGTCCCTTGACTTTCTACAGTAGTGATCTCCCCTTTTTTTCTTATTCAAGTTTCCACCAAATCACTCTAGAAGCTCTAGAAAAGGTCATCAGTGATCTTTTACCAAATCCAGTCAACTCCTAATGTTCATCTTTCTTGAAGTTATTTTCTCATATGGCTTCCATGGCAGTATAATTTCTTAATTTTTCTCACATCATATTTTCTTAGGTTCCTCTATGTCTGTCTTTCCATTAAACATTAGAGTTTCCCAGGTATTTGTTCTTATTTCATCCTTAATTGCTCCAAGCAGATTTATTTACTCCCACTGCTTTAACTACTGTCTGTGTGCTAATAATTCACAAATTTATAGCACTAGCCCTCCACTCTATGAGTTGGTGTGGATTGAGATTTCTGCATGTCGAAGTTAGAACTAATTTGTTCAACTAGGCATTTTCTGACTTTCATAGCACACATATATTATTCTTTATATCAAAGTTTTTGTGAAGTGCTAATATGGTGTAACAAAAAGATCTTGAACTTTAAAAAGGGCTTGGGTTCAAATTCTAGCTCCCCCGTTTACTCATTTCATACCATTGGACAAGTTTCTTTACCCCTCAAGTATCCAGTTCCTCATCTGTACAGGGTAATTAAATTTCCTAACTTACTGGTATTTGATGATTTAATATGTAAACCAAACCAGTAATCTGTGGCTGTAAGGGGATCTCTCTTCAGAAGTTTCTTCCAGAGAAGTGATACTGTTATTGGCATTTTAAAAATACATTATAAAAATGCTGATTAATGTGAGAAAATCTAAAGAAATGGATGAATATTCTCATTGTGTTGTGCTAAATAAGAAACTCTCTTTTTATACTGATTTTTAAAGATTGACTCCTTGATATATTTGTATAGTGTTTTAGGCTGTAAAATCTAGATTGTGACTAGAAACGGGGGCTTCAGCGGTAGCCACAGTTACTGATTTCCTTTTCCATTGAGACTCTAAAGAGTAACTTATCCTTCTTATTTTGTTAGTCCAGATTTTAGTACAGTCTTGAATACCTGTTTGAACCGAGGTTTTAGTAGACTGCTAGACAATATGGCTGAGTTCTTTCGACCTACTGAACAGGACCTGCAGCACAGTAACTCCATGAATAGGTAAGGTGACAGGGAAAAATGTTATCAGCCTAATGAATACTCTAATAAAATAGTGTTTTGGATCTATTTATTTCTTGTTTCAGGTGAAAAAATCTTAGAGAGTAAATTTGAATCATTTTTCAACAAATTAAACTTCATTAAACCAATTATGCCTTCATTAGTAGAACTCTTTCTGAACTCAGTATTAAAACTTTCATTTCTCCCCCAAATTTTCCCATTATAGATAAATACTTAAGTTGTAAAACTACCTTTCTATAGACCAAATTCCAATCATTGGTGTATTTTAACTCTTTAGAATACAAAACTGAAAATGTTTTAAGTTTTAATGCATTCTCTAATTTTATTCCAGTACTGCAAGCCGTAATTGGCCTATATAATTCAATACTTTGGTCATTGTAATAGCCAGACACTCCTGTTGTAGATTTCCATTTGATGAATTATCTCCTAGTTCTACAACTACATAAGCGTATTCATTTTCAGCCCTTATTGTAGGATTGAGAATATTTAGTTAGTGCGGTTGTTAGTGATTTTAATTGTAACTGTTACTAGTCATAGAGTTATTTATATTAAGGAAACTTAGGCAAAAACTTAAATGCCTAATTCTATGGAGCTAATAATATAAATTGTCACAGTTAGTTTGATTATTAATCATTAAAAACAGACAAAAAATGTGGAAGAACTTTTAATCAGATGAAAACATGCTTATAAGAATAAAAATTCAAAACAGTATTGCTTGGGAATTTATCGTATGTTAATAAAAACAGATATATGCAAAAATTACTGGAAGAAATTAACCATGATGTGAATTATAGTTGTTATTTCTAGGTGATAGAATTTTGTGTGAGAAGTATTTTTCAATAGCTATTTAATAATTTGTAATTAAAATGTTAAATACATAGACAATAAATTTCAGAGAATACTTATTACTGTGATGATGTTTCAGTCTTTCCAGTGTCAGCCTGCCTTTAGCTAAGATAATACCAATAGTAAATGGACAGATCCACTCGGTTTGCAGTGAAACACCTAGTCATTTTGTTCAGGTAAGAAGGCGGCTTTGGGGTATTAAAACCAGATTGTATTTTTGGACATGGTCCTGCTTGTCTAACATAAAATTGAATTTCTCTCCTGTGATATTCGTTCAAAGAAACCAGAAGCTTGAAACCACATGTTGAGTGTGATAGAATGCCCCAAGAGAGTAGTAATGTATCATGGCAAGTTTATGAGGTTGGGTATACCTTTCTCCATGTTACAGTCCAGCACCTGGTAGACTGCATTTTATTCCAGTTACATTCTAGTGGTCAGGGAAGTTTACAGTGCTAATGTTTTGCATTAAGCTGTGCTAGTGAGAATATTGAGCCTTGAGGCAGATCAGTGATACAAGCCCTCAAACTTTGAGAAAAATCAAAAAACTTTTGCGGAAAAGTAAAGCATTTTAATAATATCAGTAGTACACCAGTAATCTGCTCACTAAGAGCTGCATACGCAGTAGTAGGTCATTTAAATTTTTCACTAGACTACGCATCACTCCACCTTCTTAGGAGAGCATTTTAGAGTGCATTCAGTGAGAAGACTGATGCTATTAAATGGGTAACTTTGAATCACATAAGTTTTCTTTTTCTGAGACATTTGCAAACTTGGAAACTACCGTGAGAGGAGTCCCTAGGCCAAAGTGTAAAGATGGCATCCCTCATGTAAGAACCTAAACAAAAAATACCTCCTAGAATTTATTATAAGAAAAAAATACTCCTTTTTGGCTTTAACGCCACAAAACTTAGAGCTAAATTCCTGTCTTGATTGCAGAAATGGATTCAGGTTATCTATACAGTTTTCAAACTAACATTTTATTGTCATCTTTGCTAGGATCTGTTGATGATGGAGCAAGTGAAAGACTTTGCAGCTAATGTCTACGAAGCTTTTAGTACTCCTCAACAGCTGGAGAAATGAGTTTTTTCTTTCAAAAAAACCTATAGTGGAATCAATTTACTTTTAAAAATACACTGAATAAGTCAGCTATCTATATAGAGTAATGATTTGTTACCAAAATGCCTAATAAAAATATTCTTAAAGTCTTCGTTCATAATAAAACAGATTTATTTGTCATCTTAATATATTTTTTTAAAGTCATCAATGGACTAGTTTTTTGGGCATATCTGAGTATACACAGCACATATATCAGAATTTGTTACACCATGGATATTAGTTCCAAACTGACTGAAAACTAATGTAGATACTTTTTTTGTATAATATGAAATTCAGTATACTTTGACATTAATACTGAGGTAAAATCTCTTTGGGAAATAGGTGTGAAGTTTGGAAAGTATGCTGTTTAATGAATCATAAAGTTCATTGGGCTGCAGCATACAGAAATCAGACTTTTCTCCAGTTACTCTTCAAAGGAAAAAATTATGAGTCTTAAATATATCTGATGGAGGACTTTTCTTTTTATGGAAATCAGTGAAATTAACAACCATGATCAGCATTTCTTTACTGTTAATCTTTAGAAAATTACATAGGGATTTAGAGGCTAAATCGTGTTGATGCCATTTATTTGCAGCTATTAACTACATAGTGTAATTCATTTGTATGTAAATAATTTTAATAACTTACTTTGTATTGATTTTAAGCACAGTGGATATTGCAATAAAATATTTTAGTAAAATATGGTTTTGTTAATACTTTATAGCCGTTAATGTATTCTGTTCCATAGCATTTTTTTTTCTTTAAAAAAACCACACCTTGTTTATCCATTCCTCTGTTGGTGGGCATTCGGGTTGCTTCCGCCTCTTGGTTATTGTAAACAATGCTGCTGTGAGCCTGAATGTGCAAATATCTCAAGACCCTTCCCTCAGTTATTTTGTGTATGTACCCAGAAGCGGGATTTCTGGATCATGTAGTAAGTAATTTTTAGAGGACCTGCCATACTGTTTTTCATAGTGGTTGCATCATTTTACCATCCAACCACAAGTGCACCTGAGTTCCAGTTTCCTTATATCCTTGCTAATTATTCCTAGTTGTTTTGTTTTTTGACAGTAGCCATTCTAATGAGTGTGAGGTGATATTTCTACGATTTTGATTTGCATTTCTGTGATGATTAGAGATGTTGAGCATCTTTCTAAATTCTTGTTGGCCATATGTAAGTAAATAATCTTGTCATGCTGTCTATTCAAGCCCTTTGCCCATTTTTAAAAACATTGGTTAATAAAATTATGTAGGTTTCAAGTATATAATTCTATAATACATCATTTGTATATTGTATTGTGTGTTCATTATCACAAGTCTCATTTTATCACCATTTATCCCTGCTTTAGACTCTTATACCTCCCCCATTCCCTTTTCCCTCTGGTAATCACCATTACTGTTGTCTGTGTCTGTGAGGTTTTTTCCTTTGCTTAATTCCTTCATCTTTTTCACGTACCCCCCCCAAACTCCCTTGCCCTCTGACAACTGTCAGTCTGTTCTTTGTATCTATGAATCTGTTTCTATTTTGTTAGTTTATTTTGCTTTAGATTCCACATATAAGTGAGATCATGTGATACTTGTCTTTCTCTGACTGGTTTATTTCACTTAGGATAATACTCTCCAGGTCCATCCATGCTGTCACAAAAGATTTCCTTCTTTTTTACGTCTGAGTAGTATTCCACTGTGTAAGTGTACCTCAAATAAACAATGTAACTTTATACTTAAGGCAACTAAAAAGAAAACAAACAAAACTCAAAGTGAGTAGAGGGAAGGAAATAATAAAGATTAGAGCAGAAATAAACAAAGAGAGTCTTCAAAAAAAATGCAAAGGATGAGTGAAACCAAGAGCTGGTTCTTTGAAAAGATAAGCAAGACTGACAAACCTTTAACCAGACTCATCAAGAAAAAATGAGAAAGGACTCAAATAAATAAAATACAAAATGAAAGAAGAGACATAACAACTGACACCAAAAAATACAAATGACTGTAAGAAAATACTACGAACAACTATGTGCCAACAAATTGGACAATCTGGAAGAAATGGATAAATTCCTAGAAACATACAATCTTCCCAAATTGAATTAGGAAAAATCAGAACATCTAAATAGATTACAGCTAATGAAATTGAAGCAGTAATCAAAAAACTCGCTACAAACAAAAGCCCTAGACCAGAATTTTACCAAACATTCAAAGAAGAACTAACACCTATCCTTTTAAAACTATTCCAAAAATTTCAAGAAGAGGGAAGACTCCTAAGCTCATCTTATGAGGCCAGAATTATCCTAATTCCAAAAACAGATAAAAACACTACAAAGAAAATTATAGGCCAATATCCCTGATGAACATAGATGCTAAAATTCTCAAAAAAATATTAGCAATATGTTAAAAAGATCATACACCATGATCAATTGGGAATTATTCCAGAGATGCAAGGTTGGTATAATATCCATAGTATTTTTGCTGTTACTTTGGGAAGATGCTGGTTTTCAAGTTTCACTTTAACTAGTAACAATTGGTATCTTTTAATTTGTTTAGAAAAAATAAGCAGCATTTCCTTCTGAAAAGAAATAATTCATTGTCTCCAGTAAACCTATAGTAAATTTAGGTGGGGAATTAGGGCAGAAATAAATGAATCATGTATCATTAATATATTAGATACATTTTCAGTAATATAAGAATATTTTCAGTGACATCAGTTTATGTTCTTCCAACATACATGTAGATCAGTAGTGGAAGGCAGAAAATGATGAATTCTAAGTCCAGGCTAGGCCTGAAGCCAACCGTTAGGGAGTCTATGTCTAGAATGTGTAGATAATGAAAGATGATTATTGACAGATTGATGATGATAGATAGATAGATGGTTGATAGATGATAGATGTAGGTAGATACTTAAATGTGGGGTGGAGGGCGAATGCTTCTTTTCAAAATGTGACAATATAATGATATTTCTAATAAGGAGATGTAAAAAAAAGCATTTGGAAAACTAGTGAATGTGTGTATAATAGGGCATCTCTTCCAGCAGCATTAACCCAGGATTTCATCCAAAAAAATTGGAGGCTGAACGGGTGTGGTCTTCTAAGTCTTCAAAGTGATCAGCTGAAAATTATCACCTGCCATCATCTGCATCTGTAGTTATGGCATCTGAAGAGATTACAAGGTAAAAACCACATGTATTTGAAGCTAATGGCCTTAGACATTACAAATTTATCTTCTGTTAGTACAATAGGAACCCTCTTGTCTGGGACCCTTAGTAGTTTGGTTAATCCAGAACAGCGTATCATAAAAAATAAATAAATAGCCCTGGCTGGTGTGGCTCAGTTGGAGCATTGTCCTGTGTACCAAAGGATCGTAGATTTGATTCCTGGAATATGTACTAAAATGTTAATAATGGTGATCTGAACAGTGATTTTACCTTTGAGCATTTCTGTATGTTTTAAAATATCTACAGTGAACATTTACTAGTTTTATTACCAAGGGGGGGAGACAATTTTTTAAATAAAAACAATTACTGTAAGCATTGGAAATATATTAGGCCAAATATATTCTATGCCTACCACTTGTATTAGTCTGCTAGGATTGCCATAACAGAATACTACCAACTAGGTAGTTTAAACAGCAGTAATCTATTTTCTCAGTTCTGGAGGCAGAAAACTTGGTGTCATCAGGTTTGGTTTCTCTTGAGGCCTCCTTGGCTTGCAGATGGTCCGCCTTCTCACCGTGTCCTTATATTGCCTTTCCTCTCTACTTGTGCATCCCTGGTGTCTCGTGCTCTTAGAAGGACACCAGTCATTTTGGATTAGGGCCCCACCCCTATGATTTTAATCTTAATTACCTCCTTAAATGCCGCATCTCCAAATACAGCAGCGCTGTGAGGTTAAGGCTTCAACGTTTGGCAGCAGACATAATTCAGTCCTTTACACCATCAATTCCTAGCTATTCTAAAACAAAAATTTCCACCTCTGAATCACACATGGAATTAAATTCAATGTGAAGAAATTTTAATAGCAAATATGGGGGACAGAAAATTTCCTCTACCCATCTAGGTTTTTCCAGCTGGTCTAATCAAATCAACATGAGACAGGTAAACAAGAAATAATCAAATGTAATTCCATTCATACATATGGGAACTCCACGTACATGAGAGGCTGAGAGACAGTTAAAATGAGGCATCTGTGACATCCTGAGCTAAGGCTGAGGTGAGGTGAGGCGCACGGAGCCATTAGAGGGGAGGAAGGTCTTTGCAGGACTGAAAGAAAATCAGATGTTCAGTAATTTGAAGTTTGCCCTGCCCCACAGATAGGTCATAAAAAGGTTCTTTCTTTCCAAGATATGTACAGCAACAACATTTCTGTGTCGAAGTGTCCTAAGTCAGGTTGGAGAATGTGTTAGGTTTATAATTGCAGAATTAAGTGGAGAAAATAGATTGTTAAATGACCAAAGAAGGTTTGAAACAAGACTATTCTTGGAATTTTGTGGATTTTTCTCCTTTGTTTTTAATATTAATTTCTGTATTCTAATGAAATTAAATATCCTGTCAAAGATTTTAAGATGCTCTTTGTGTTTACTTTGTAGATCTGTCAGTTTTCTTGAAATGTTAAAATGGTGAGAAATATACTTTAAAAAAAAACTTATTTGTGGTGATAACTCTAATTATGTTCAAGGCCCCAAGTTTAAATGCTTGAAGGGAGAGGTAAAAGTTTCTCGTGAGCCTGCAGGATCTCGATTGCCTTCAGCTCGAAAAAATGCACTTGAGGCAGTGGCGCATCTTGGCGAGGCCCGTTCTGAGCACAAAGTGTACTGCAGAGTTGAAACAGTTAGTGGGTAATTTAGGAAGAAATTTAGGGAGTAAGAGGGGGAAAGGGCTACAGTGCCTAAATAAGTACTTGACTTTTCTTGACCTATTTTACGTGTGCTTTCTCCATGTGCTATAATTATAGAAACCTGACATTTTCTAGTCTTAGCTGTAGCTGCAGCATGAACCACTCGCTGTAGGTTAGATCACATTAGTTAGTACGAGAGCCCAGCCCCATTTACAGGGCATCTGATGGAAGGTTAGGTGTGGCAGCTCCACCATAATGCCATTTTTCTCCAAAGAGGTCCATTTAAGTGGCTGTCCGTGTCCCAGTAGTTTAACCTGAAATGAAAACACACACACAGATGTCTCCAAATGTATCTCTGACTCGCCCACTTTAGAAGGTTGTGGTTGATGTTTCTTAAAAGCACTGTACACAGAAGATTCATTTTTTACTTTTATTTAGTAGTTCACAAGCTGTTTTAACCCTTGATCAAAGAGGGCGTATATCCGTCTTACTCCCATATTATTCTGAAATAAAAGTGTGAAGGAGTTGGGGAAGAAGAAGGTTGAATAAAGTGTCAGAGCAGAGAAAATGACGAGGGCATCAGGGAAAATGACCCTGGAGCCAATCTGCCCAAATTAAGTTCTTACACAGAATGTTTGGAGAAAGGGCCCCCCTTCATCCAGAGAGACTTCCTCCCCAGACTTTCCAGTAACCTCCACTGCTCAGCAATACTTAACTGTGATCAGTTATTACAGTAATGGTTTTACATCCTTAGTCTTATACTAAGTGAATTTAAATAGTTTTCTACATATCTGAGGTTATTTTGAAACAGATAAATTTTGCTTATCATGTAGAGCAGTACATAAACAAAATCCACGAATGTTTTATAGGTAATCTTTTTCTTTTATAAAAAATATCTTTATTGATTTCAGAGAGAGGAAGGGAGAGGGGGAGAGGGAGACAGAAACATCAGTGATGAGAGTCGTCATTGACCGGCTGCCTCCTGCACGCCCTTGATCGGATCGAGCCCACAACCCGCCCATGTGCCCTGACCGGGAATCAAACCTCGATCCCTGGATCCTAGGCTGATGCTCAACCACTGAGCCACGCCGGCCGGGTAAAATCCATGAACTTTAAGTAACAGTATTAATGAGGGCCAAAGAGAACAGTGATAAAATAAAAACATAATGTCGGACTCAGGCCACTTAGCTATAATTCAACATCAGATTTGAGCTCCATCTTCTTTTCTGCCTGATCAGCCATGAGCGTTAGGAATGAAACATGAGATGATGATGCAAGAAGCAGCATGTGGACAATTCACCTCCAAGGAAATTGTCGATTTCTTTAAAATAAGCTATAAAATGTATCAAAATGAACTCAATACCAGACCTAGTGGTTATGATTCTTAGATTAAGCTTTAACTTTCTCCAAAGTATTTTATGAACTTAAAATAATACGGCCAGGACTTTTTACTTTTATTCTAATGTGTTCTGGGGTAGATGTTAGGGGAAGAAAACAGAGTCCAGTTTTATGAAAATCATCATTTTGGATGCATACAGTGAACTTCAACAACATAGAAGGATTGTGAAGAATATTTTACATTGATGTACATGGACATGACGTATCTGTTTTATAAGTTTAGTTTTCTGGGAAATGAAAATTTTCAAATGCTCTGGCCACACATTGTCATTGATGACACTCATTTAAAAATTACTCTTACAGGTAATAAGAGGAACAAGTATAAAGCTCTCCTTGAGGTTAAAAGTTATGTTTTCATCAGGATAGTCTAGTCAACAATTTAAAGGAATAAAGATAAAGTTCCCTCCTACCTCTGTTGACCCCAGAGTAGCTTTAGGTTGACCAAGAAACAGCTGGCCAGATGTGGGCCATTTGAGAAACATGGCATAGACCAATTTTTCTTTCGGTTTGGATGTGTACCTGGTTAAAAGGGGGAAAAAGCATAGTAAAATTTCTCATTATTTATGGGTTGGGTCTGGAATTTACAGAGATACTCTCATTTGGTAAATATTTACCAATGTTTTCATTAATAGAGGGAAGGAAAAATAGCCCATGGTAGTGTAAAAAGCACCCAAAATGGTACTGATCCCAATTCCAGTGGGAAGGAGGGGGTTCCCCATATCACAAAGCAGTTCTCAGATACCATCTGGGGGTTCTACAATTCAGCTCAATTCTGACACTATCCACCCAGAGATAGTGTGAGATTCCATAGATTAAGAGTAATTCTGGGGCTAAAATCTGAAAGGGTTTTAAGGATAGTCCTGGGAGTGTATAGTGAACAAAACAGGTTCCACAGAAAGTAACCTCAGGATGAGCTGATCACAAATGTGGACAGGTCGCGGCAGTCAACACCCCAGGCACGTAACTCTTTTAGTAAAAGGTTTCACTTTGCTGCAAGGATGCACTGTGCATTGTTTTTGTACATCTAGTGAACACATTTTTGAAATGAGCATAACCATCCTAAGAGAGCACATAATCTTGTTAACTATCCCGTAATCCAATCCCTGCCTTGCTTCCCCACCATCACGTAATCTTCCTTACGTCCCCTCCTGAATTTCAAATGCATAAAAGAAACTGCAAATCTGTCGTTCTCAGGAGCATTTGAGATTGTGCTTCCCACCACTTGTCAACAGTTTTGGCTCAGATAAACTCATTAAAATTCTCTACAGGTTTGGGCATTCCTTATTCGACACTATAGGTGACAGCTGCAAGGTGGGGAGGCACAGCAATGGAACCAAGAGCGAAGGAGCTCACAGTGAGGAGGGGAGAGCAGGGCCACTGGAGGTAGGTGACACTGGCAGGAGCCGGACATGAGGTTATACAAGCCTTGTCAAATTCCTCAGCTTTATCTTTGCTTATTTAAAGAAAACCTAATGGAACAGCTAATGATTGTGAAGTCCCAGATCAGACACCCTCATAGTCAAATATAAGCACAGAAAAAAATTCCACACCGGCCTCTGTGAAATGAAGGCTCGGTACTGAGTTCTCACTATGGCTTCTCACTGACCCAAAGTTCTAAAATTCTACAAACTGTGGCCTCTATCTGCATTGCCTTAGTTTATTTCCTTCAATGAGCTGACCAGTTTTTCAAGCCATAATTCAACTGAAATCAAAGGAGAAGAGTTAGTCTAATCTTCTGATTTCTACTTGATCAGGCTATTCTCACTCTGGCAGCAACACAAGGTGACTTTTTCGAGCTTCACTCATACTACTCTTACGTACATATAAGACCCCACATCAGAGCCCATCATCTACAGAGTATGATTCAGGTACCCACTGTCCCACAGAACCTTCCAGAGCTCAGACAGAAGCCTGAGGGCTCTTAAATACAGTAAGAAGAAAAATTAGCAAGATGATTCATTTTAAAGAAACTTGAGGTTTAGATTTACTCGAATACTATGAACACTACAATTTTTTTAATCAACTAAAATAATGCTGTCATTGGGGCTGATGTTAAATATGTTTTTCTGCCCTTCAGCACCTCGTGCTTGCTAATTTGATGTGATAAGACATCTGCAAAAGTTAGAATTTACTTAACTGACTAAACAGAAGTCTCTCTTTTGGATTAATCACTCCACTTTTCTAAATGACTTATAATTTTTAAAAGAGTTGACTACTTTTCACTAAAATTTGTCTACCATTATGAGGTATCTAGAGATGATTTAAGCTCAATTTGCTAAATAGTGAGTGTCAAAAAAATGCATGTCTTCCCCTTCCTTCCCTTTACATAAAGTTTAGAAAGTATTTTGCACAGACAGGAATTCATCCCATTTCCTTTTTCATCCTACTTCTCTCTTTACATCTCTGAGGAAATTTAAGTGCTTTCCTCTATCAAAGAGTACTTGGTAATGAGAGTAACTTACCACACATCTGGGGTGACAGTGTCATTCTGGGATCTCCAAGTGTTGGTTTCATAAATGGCTTCTCCATTGACTTTTAGCCAGGTCCCCATTTGCCTTAATCGCTCCTCAAAAATCGGAGAAATGGTGCCATCATGAGTGGGCCCAATATTCATCAAAAGATTTCCTCCACATGAAACTGTTTCTACAAGTTGCTAAAAAAATTAAGAATAAATATAGTTCTTGGAGAAAACAGTTCCATCACAAATATATTAATATGTTGTATTTATAGACTTGTACATGAATGTATGGTCACCGTCTAGGAGAGCAAACATGGGAGACAGAACAATGCCCCGTGTTGATAGGCCATCGAGCTATACAAACAATAAAAAATGATTCTCACACACCCACACTATTAAGAATATTATAATTGTTACTAGACATTTTACTGTACCTTCACCAATTCTTCAATTGTAAGATAGTCACAGATTCCCGCATTCCTCCTATAGCCCCAGGAAAACTTGTCTATTGTCATGCAGTTTTCCCATTTATGTGGCAAAAGATGTCCTGGGTTGTAACGATCACTGCAAGTATAGTAGCCACCATGCTTACAGATGCTACCAGCTCCCCAGCGGTCATTGGTGACTACTGTGTCCCGAACTGGGCTGAAATGAAAAGTATATTTTTTATAAACAAAAAGTAAAATTTTTCAAGACAAAAGGAAATGTCACTGATAAGAGATCTGACTGCAATCCACTCCTGAAAATTCACCCTAGTGTAATATAACGCAAAGCCCATGGTTTTGAAGTCAAACAGACCTGGGCTGATTGCGGTTCTGTCTCTGTCATGTTCTAAGCTCTCCATCCTAGAGCAAGTTACCTGATTCCTCTGAATAAACAATTTCCTCAGCTCTTATTAGAACAGAAATAGCTTCTGTAAGATACCTCGCCCAGTGCCCAGCACATACAGCACCAATAAGAGCACTGTACTATTACTTGAAGCTTCCCCCCAATATTGTGAATGATACCCGAAACTGAATTTACAATGAAGACGTTCTCGCCCATGGCTGAATCATCTCATACATCCATCTAGCTTTTCTCTTTCTCTTACAATTGTGTCTGGTACTGAAAAATTTCAAGAAAGTCGACTGTTGCCATCACAAAATTCACTGTGGTGGGAAATATCCCTACAAAGTTATCTATCATAACAGGTGGTACCTGCAGCACCTCTCTACTTAGAGGGGGCGATTTTGATTTACGAATTGAAGCGGATGGCTCCCGGTCTTCCTTGTTGGAAGGGGTACCTGAAGAGACCGCTCTTTTAAATATCGAGAGCAGAACGGAGTATATCCTCTGTATGTGCGCCCTTTGTGGGCCCAGGGACACAGCAGAACACTCCCTGACTTCCTGACACAGTACCTAGTACCTTCTAGTTACAAATATAAGCTGGTTCCATTTAGTTTACACCTAACAGAGGAGCTCGGTCAGAACTCCCTGTGCTAACGGGGCAGGCTGGAACATGCCAGAGAGCAATGGGAAAGAGCGGGAAGAGGTGAGAATGGTGCTGAAGGGAAAAGGGAGACCGACCTGGGGGACGCTGACCGGGCAGCAAAGGTTGTCAAAAGGTAAGAGGATGAAAGGAAGAAGCAGTCAGAAGAACTGAAAAGCACATGATCAGAAACAGTCATGAATAACAGTTGTTCCAGCAGAAGGAGACAAGGGACCACAAAATGAATGTCTTCAAAATTCTGCAGTCTGCCCGGCCGGCGTGGCTCAGTGGTGAGCGTGGACCTAGGATCCTGGAGGTCCCAGTTCAATTCACTGTCAGGGCACATGCCCGGGTTGCGGGCTCGGTCCTCTGCCCCCAGGGCAGGAGGCAGCCGATCAATGACTCTCTCATCATTGATGTTTCTCTCTCTCTCCCTCTCCTTTCATCTCTCTGAAGTCAATAAAGATATATTTAAAAAAAAATAAAAATTCTGCAATCTGTGATTTTTAGTCTGTTTTCAAAATCAGACTTTTGAGTTGGAGTTCACTCTTGATTATTTTGAGTAACTACTGACACATGTAATAAGCATTATTTACAATGCTCCCCCCATACTACACAGGAGCCTGAAGGGCAATACTTCAAGCAGCAAGGGCACGGCAATGCTACACGCTCTGGGAAGGCGGGGCGGCTGGGCCCGGGCGCACTCGCCTGTCGCTGTACAGCCAGGCCAGGAAGCCTGTGCTGTTCCAGTAGCCGGCCGGCGCCCCTCCGTCGCCATCCGCCCACAGGACCTCCGGCTGGTACTTGTTCACCAGCTCGTAGAGCTCAGGCAGCATCTTAGACGCTGGAAACTGGCGCTTCTGGAATGAGCTGGATTCATCGTCAAGGAAGAGCGGGTGAAACCACTCAAAAAGGGAATAGTACAGGCCAAAACGCAGGGCAGTCCTGTTCCTTACGGCCACCTCCAGTTCCCTGACGAGGTCCCTGTGTGGCCCCTCATCCACAGCATTCCAGCTCCAGGAGTACTCGGAGCCCCACAAGGTGAAGCCTGCACAGGTAGGTAAAAGCCTGGGTAAGTATGTGCGTTTTATCTTAGGTAAACCTCTACCCAAACGCCAAAACAAATCTGATCGTGCACGTGATGTATAAATAACTGCTTCTACCAACAGCCCTGATGGCAGTTTTTTTCATGGTATATCTTCTGCCTTTATACAAGCAACAAACGAGAATTTAAGCAAGGTAAGCTGAAGTTTTTAAAAGTAACTCTCAGGGTACTGACAAGGTCTGCATAGTCTGATCTGTCTTCTGTATTTTCTCTTAGAATATAAGTTCCCTGAGAAACAGCTGGGTTCATGTCTGCTGTGTTCCCTGTTACAGCCCCTGCCAACTGCAAGCACTGGGCCTACCAGGAAATCAGCATTCAACATTAGGAAGGCGGTCACAGCTAAGATTAAAGTCGAGTCCCTGGTTTTAGGATTATTTATTTCATGATAGTGTGATTCTTAGAACACTGGCAATCCATGTATGGCAGTACATCTCTTTTAGCCTCATAATTCATTTAATGAAGAGGCGGGGTTGGGTAAGACCTTAGTTTGTACTTGAAAATACTATACCCACCATTTGTAATCTCATCCTGTTACATATAGTTGTATGCTTAGACGTTGCTTCTTAAATTACCTAAAAGTGATATTCTCTACCAACTAAGTGGGTAAGAAAAATAATGTCTACCTTTAAGCAAGCACTTTGAAATAGAATTCATAGTTTTAAAGGAATTTGCAAACAAACTGCTGGGTGTTCTATCTAAAAAGTATCAGAAGCGACATATAAACTGAATTACTTAAGAAATCATATAAAATCTGAACATTTTTAGTGAGTGCCTAGTAACATAGGTACACTGTTACTATCCCACTCACATGAGGCACTTTGGTGAAACACTTAACGTCTTGTAAATTAGGACAAGTCTAAGATGGACTCTTTAGTTTCATTTTTAAGAAGCTTTTAAAAGAGCTCACACTTGTTCCAAAGATGTTTGTGGTAAGCTTCAAAGCAGTGTGGATATTTTAGAGTCTGATTCAAAATGTTTCAACTTGACAAGCCCCAAGGTCAGGCAGTGCTAAGACCACATGGGTCTTCAGTTCAGGTCTTCCTGCCCAACCAAGCTCAGCAGGGTGTCTTCCATTAGCAATGAAAATATCTGACAACATGGGTCCGAGAAAGTTTATAAATGTGAGCTTCATTCTCTGTCCTCACAGTATGATTAAGAGTTGTTCTGTTTGTTTTTTAATAAGCTCACTATGTAATACTTTGTGCCATACAGCTTGGAGAAGTTCCTAGAGCAAGGAAATCAACACGTTCACAAACAAATACACTTCATAAATATTCATCTAAGCAGGAGAAACATCTATAGGAAAAAAATCATAAAACCACTAGAATGTGGCCAAAGAGGAAAATATTCTAAGATTATTCCAGATTTGTGGTTTGGTTCTTCCCTCCTACTCTGCTCCCCACCCCTGAAAAAAGTAATGAGGCAAAATTTCTTATACCAAGGCAAAGATGATCTTGCAAAGGAAATTGTCAAATGAATTAACATGAAGTTGGGACAATAACAATTTACTGATGCTTCCTTGATCTTATAAATACTCGAATGGCAATGGGTGGAAACGACCTTATTAATGTAGGACCCACAGTGATGGTTAACTTTTTGTGTCAACTTGACTGGGCCACAGGGTACCCAGATATTTGGTTCAACATTATTCTTGGTATGTCTAGGAGGGTATTTCTGCATAAGATTAACATTTGAATAGATTGCCTGAGTAAAGCAGATTGCCCTCCCCAGTGTGGTGGGTCTCATGCAGTCTGTTTAAGGCCTAAATAGAATAAAAAGCTGAGTTAGAAAGAATTCTTCCTCTCTGCTTGTCTTTCAGCTAAGACATTGGTCTTCCCCACCTTTGAACCGAGACCTGGATTAGAACCTACATCATTAACTCTCCTGGTTCTCAGGCCTTCAGACTCGGACTGGAACTATACCATTGGCTCTCACGGGTCTGGACCACTCAGCCTCCGTAACTGTGTGAGTCATTTCTTATAATAAATCTTTTTATATCTAGTATACTTCCTGTTGGTTCTGTTTCTCTGAAGAACCCTGACTAATACACCACTGTGTTTCCTCTTAGATATTCTTCTACCATCTCTGATATTTCTGTGCACCATAACGGTCCCATAATCCTTTTCCTCTTGGGTAATCTGTGTCACCTGCATCACTAGCAAATTGCCAACCACTTGGTCAAGTAAAAGTTGGCCAAAAGCACAGCCATATGTGTCGGTAATGATGTAAGACTACAGCGGCATCACCCCCATGGTGCCTTCCCAGAATGCATTATAGAGGTGGAATGAAAGGAAGGGAAACAGCAGAATTCCAACTATAAACGTGGACCTGCAACCCACATCCAACTTCAAATAGCTTTAAGCAAATTTTGGAAATATTGTTAAATATGCATATAACAAAATGTGATTATTTTTTTATTTTTTCTCTGTAATTAGGTATGATCTTTCTGCATACCTAATGCCTCTTAACTGGGTGGAACATGGGTCCCTTAAATTACAAGCAAATGCCAGTAGCCACATACAGTTGATCCCAAGAGAAAACTCTGATTTCACGTGGATGACCTTGCTTTAGTTTCTTCTTCCAAAGGAACTACTTTACATTTCATAACCATCGTCCATGTTTGCAAATGTTGCTGTTACTTACCTTCATGATGTTTGGAAGTTAAGACAACATATTTGGCACCAGAAGCCTGAAAAATGTCTGCCCACTGGTTTGCATCAAAAAACTTTGCTGTAAATAGTGGTCCAAAATCTTCATATTTGAAATCAGGAGGGTAATTATTTTTCATAAAGTCCACAAACTTTTGTATCTTTTCCTTTTGCCAATACCACCTAAGGGGAGGAACAGAAACAGCATATAAACATATAAACATTTGCAATGATTAAATCAGCTCCCCTTACTAATTCCCTCACTCAGATATTACCCAGACTCTTTCTCACTTACCCATTAGTTCAACTTTTCCTTAAAGAAAGCTTCATTTTCCATCTATCCCTCTGTGAAATCCACTCAGCTCATAAGCTAGAACATTCTAGACAACCCAACACCCATTTGCTATTAATTCCCTACTTTTAAATTGCAACATGTAGTATACATCTTTGTAACATAAGTGAGGAAGGCTTCCAAGGGAAACCTAAATGCCTAAAACATAACATGGATCTATTATGTTCACTAACAGAGAACAAGTGGGGGAGTGGGCAACAGCAAAATTAAGATGATGCTGTTATTTTAATATATTGACTCAACCTTCAAGGGGCCCTTGTTATATGCATTTATTCTGAACGGGGGTCTAAATTTCCTAAGTAAGGCTTCATGAGGAAAACTATCAAAAATATAATTATACATTTTAGGTAGACGTAGCAGTAACTATCCTCATGAAATAGTCCCAAGCTCCATCTCGGACCCATCTTCTAATTTTTCTGCCACCACCAGTCAGATACATAATTTCCCAGCTTCCATGGCAGCTTGGACATGGACATGTGACCCATGCTGGGCAAGGGAATTTAAGGGGAAGCCAGCTTAGGAGATTCTGGGAAATGAATTAGACAAGAACTCTGTCTTCCTGCCTTTGGACAAGGTTGTGTGAAGCTATGGCTGGCTGGCAACCATCCTGTGACCGTGAAGGAAAAGTCAACAGGCTGAGGACGGCAGAAAGAGCCAATGTCTTCGATGTTGTCAGTGAGCCAACTGCTCCTAACTCTTCTTATTATGATAACAAGCCCCTCCTATTACACGTTTTCTTTGGGTTTTCTATACCTTGAAATGAAAGTATCCTAATTGATCCACGACACACTTTTACCTTTTAAACTGAACTACAGAAGAGAAACGGACAGTCTGAAAGTTGAACAAGGTTAAGAGATTTCTCCGATTTTCTCCTAGCACTCTGACTCTAACCTGCATTCTCGAGACTGTCTAGAGCCACTTCTCAGATTTCATACTAATAGACATGAAAAGAGGCACTTGAACGGTCTATCACCTATATTTGGTTTTGAATGGCCTTTAAGGACAGTCAGATATACTCACGGGTACTGCTGACTGCCCCAGAGTCAAACTGGGATGGGGCAGTTTAGAAACGACACAAAGGGAAACCGTGGTAATTAAAGAATGTTCTACAGGGTTAATGTACTTCCAGGCCAGCAGAAATATACTCTGTTTTGTTTTGTTTGAGAAGTATCTGTATTGTTCTAGGTTACAACAAACAACCCTGTGTTCACTGGTAGAAAGTGAAAAGTTTACAAAGGACAAAATTACTCAAAACTTAGCTGTTTGTGGCAAAGCACTAGTCTCAATTAACTAACACATCAAATTCTCTTCTAGCACCAAATGTATTATTTGTTCATGGTTGAACAAAATGATAATTTAAGATATAATGCATTATATTTAATAAAAGATGAAGAAAATCTGCTAATTCATGTACCTAGCAAATCTGAGACATTTCAGAAAGAACCTCCAAATGCCTCAGCACAAAACCTGCCAATGAAGATGTACAGCATCCTAAAGTAAATATAGGGTGTCCCAAAAAATGTATACACACACTTTGAATAATTATAAAGGCAGCGTTTATTAAAATAGATTTCATTTTCAAAATTGAGCTATTAAATTGTGTATAGTGTGCATACGTTTTTGGGGGGATACCCTGTATGTTTGGGAATACCTGGTAAGGGAAGAAAGAAGCACTTGTTTTACAAGTGGATTTCAAAAGAGTAGTACCCCGTCTCTTACACAACCAGCCTAACTTAATAAGGAAGGTTACTGGTTGTAGAAAGGCATCTTTTTGTAGAAAACGGTACAATGCATACTATGCAATGTTAATACAATATAGAGTTTATGCTATATACTACATATAGCATATATTAAATTTTATGCGTACTATATAATACATGTAGTATAAAGCAGACTTAAGTAAATACTCATTTTTATTTTACTTAGGATTACATTTATCTTGAAGAACTTAACACCTGAAGTATTCAATCGGGAAAGAAAGGTAGGTGAAACACTTCAAAGCTGTAAGGGATTACATGCACATTTTTACACAGGTGCCAAGGCAAAATCTAAAGGACACTTTTTTTGTGCAACACCTTTCATATAATAAGGTGGGCTTTGTTTTGTTTTATTCTAGAACCTTTTTTTAAAAGTTGCTAGAGGCACACATGGTAACACCGGAGAGCCAGTGCATGCGCAAGCGAACAGACGTCTCCCACACCGATGAGTTCATGCTGTGACCACGCTTCATGGCGCAACGACTGAAAACGAGCTGGCAGCAGATGGGCATCGAGTCTCCGGCGACGAGTTAGGCTCGAGCGTCCGCGCTCATCTGACCCCAGCCAGGCGGGTGCGTTTCTGCCAGCTTGGTGGAGTCCCCGTTACGCTGAAGTGTGAGAAATACAAGTCGGTGACTGCAACTCTGCAGAAGCTGAGAACTCAGGGCCACCTCTCGTGTCTGACAATAACTGTAGTCACGCGGAGGAAAGAGCCGATGCTCTCCCAGGACGAAAGCTTACACAGTGAACCACGCACTTAACCCCCGGGCCTTCCAGCCCCTGGGAGGCGAATCTGCAGGCGGCGGCTGGGTCCTGGCTGGGTCCTGGCCGCAGGCAGCGGACAGAGGGGGTCGGCGGACACGCGAGCGAGCGCACTCACCAGAACCATTCGCTCCCGAAACTGGGCACCGAGAACACGCCCCAGTGGATGAAGATGCCGAACTTGGCCTGGTCGAACCACGCGGGCAGCGGTCGGGCGTCCAGGGACTTCCAGGTGGGGTCGAAGCGCGCGGCGCGGCCGGCGGCACACGGCGGGGGCAGCAGCAGCAGCAGCAGCAGCAGCGGGAGCGCGATCCCGGGGAGCTCGGGGGCCAGCATGTCC